ACAGTTGTTACTAGTTTGATAATGGGGCAGGGAAAATGCTGGGTGGGGTGGGTTTAAGGGACGTGGGGTTGAGTGGGGCGACGCGGGGCGGATTGCGGCGCGTTTAAGGTTATGTGTGGTGGGGCAGGTTGAAGCGGGTTTTTTGAAAATTAATGTGGGGCGCGGCAGATTGCTGGTATATGACTTTTCTGTGGGTTCAAATTTAATTTTAACTTTTTACATGTTACTGAGAGATACAACATTATTTTTTAAGATAATTTCATTAAAACTATTAAAATACTCAACATAATAAATGAAAATGGTTCGATAAAAAATAATTTAATTTCTTGTATGTTTCCCTATTGGTTTAAAAAAATAAAATTTTAAGCCACTATACTATTAAGTTGATACAACTTAATGAAAAAATGAATTTATTTTTATGAATTTTATATTTTAGTATCAAACATAATTAGAAAAAGACAATATTAAAAAAATTATCCGGGAGGATGCGGGGCGGCGTGGGACGAGTTGAAAATGAAAATTTTAGCTATGCGGGGCGGGGAAGATTGAAAAATTCGTGGGTTAAGTCTTACCCGCACAACCCCCGCCCTACACAGTGACGGAGCCAGAAATTTCTTAAAGGGTGTCCAGAAATAGCAGCTTGTTATGTTAAATGTGTCCTCAATATGTTAGCTAATAATTTCTTATATCATTTTACTTGAATGTATGCTATTTTTTTCCAACGAATGGTGTCCAATTGGACACCCTTCTCACTATGTAGCTATGCCATTGACCCTACACCGCCCCATTGTCATCCCTAGTTATTACAAGCACCTGACACCAAAAAAATTACTACTGATAGTAAATGGAAAAAGGTCAAATATACCCCTAAACTATTCGAAAAGGTCTAAATAAACCTTCCGTTTAAAGCTTGGCTCACTCACACCCTGACAGTCTAAATTTTGGCTCATATAGCCCTTACGGGCGTTGGTATGCTGGACATATCAAACTCATTTTTTATTTCCTTAAATGCCACGTGGAGTTACCGAATCATTTTGACCTTACCACATGACATTTATTTGAAAATAGAAATAGAATCAATTATGCCCCTAACAAATTCAGACATATGAACACCTAATCCGACCCATAAATCAAACCCTTTTGAATAAACTATCCGACCCATTTTTAACAATTTTGGTTAATGTTAATTATTTTTGATAAATTCCAAATAAAAATTATTGATTTATAAAAAATATGAAGAAAAAAAACATAAAATTAACATCAAAAATTCAAAAATAAATATAGTAACCTTAAATTCAACAAATTTAATACTTTTTTTAAAATTTTTATTTTTATTGATAAATCTCGAAAGTGAGTAATTGACTACTAAAAAATATAAAATTAACGCCAAAAATTCAAAAATAAATATAGTAACCTTAAATTAAATAATTTCAATATTTTTTTATTTTTTATTTTTCTTCAAAAAATCTTGAAAATGAGTAATTTATTAATAAAAAGAGGAAAATATGAAAAAATTTAAAATTTACGCCAAAACATCACAAATAAATATAGTGACCTTAAATCCAACAATTTCAATAATTTTTATTTTTATCATAAATTCCAAAAATGATTAATTGATTAATAAAAATAAGAAAATATGAAAAATATTAAATAAAACAATTTGTTGAAACTTTATTTATTTGTGATCTTTTGGCGTTAATTTTATAGTTTTTTCATATTTTTCTAGTTTTTATTAATCAATTACTCATTTTCAAGATTTACCGAAAAAAATTTAAAAAAAATTGTTGAAATTATTGAATTTAAGGTAACTATATTTATTTGTGAATTTTTTGCGTAAAGTTTATACTTTATTTTCACATTTTTCCTTTTTTATTAATAAATTAAGTAATTTTGAGGATTTGTCAAAAAAAAGATTAAAAAAAATTGTAGAATTAAATGTTACTATATTTATTTGTGAACTTTTGGCGTTAATTTAATATTTTTCATACCTTTTATTACTCATTTTCGGGATTTACCGAAAAAATAAAAAATATAAAAAATTATTGAATTTTTTTAGTTTAAGAATACTACATTTATTTGTGAATTTTTGGGGTCTATTTTCTATTTTTTCATATTTTTCCTATTTTTTATTAATCAATTACTCATTTTCGTGATTTACCAAAAAAATAAAAATTAAATAAAATTATTTAAAATGGGTCGGATAGATTATTTTAAAAGGGGGTTGATTTATGGATCGGATTAGGTGTTTATGGATCTGAATCCTTGTAATATCTCGTAAGTCGAATTAGCTAAGAATAAGTTAAGAAGACCAAAATAATCACTTTTGAAAAGAAAAGGAAAAATCTTGAAATTTCCTAAGTTAAGAAAGTGAGTTTTTGGTCATCTTCAAATGACCATAACTTCTAGCTCAGGATGAGTTAGAGTCAATTTTTTAAATGGTTGGAAAGCCCTTGGAGAGATCTTTACAACGGCGCCGAGTTTGCACGATTTCAATATCGTATGAGGGAGATATGTCTTTCGGAAGTTGGATCGAGGAAAGTTCAATCAGGATTTTAATAAGGGCAAAACAGTCTTTTTATCCATTTATTTCCTAAATCATTTAAGGGTTTAATTGGGGTAAAAACAGATTTTGGTCAGATTAGAAAAATTATTTTTACGATTAGGGCTTCGGAGAAAAGAGAAGAAGAAGAAGAAGAAGGGAGGGAGAGCAAGATTTCGCCACGAACACCAATAGGTTCTAGTGGAATTCGTCGGGAATGATCCCCATTGAGGTACTTCTTGTTGAGTTAATTCATCCACACATCAATCTTACTTCAGTTTTGTAGTTTTGAAATTGTTCATATGAGTTGAAGTGAGTTCTTGATAAATCTTGTCGAATCTCTTTTGGTTGAGTTGATTGAATTCTTGTTGATGTTGATTAGTAGTTTTCAATGTTATTTTTGAGTTAGATCTAATGGGTATTGATAGTGTTGATGATTCTAAGGGTATGGGGATAGAACTCTGGAGGTTTAGGTGTTTTGGGATTTGAGAATGAGTTGAAAAATCTATCAGACACACCTGGGCAAGCCAGAAACATCGCGCCAGAAGTGCGCTAAAAATTGGCCTCAATCAACAGAGGCCTGGCACGGTGCGCACCCAGTGCGCCAGAACCAAGCCTTATTCAACTGAGGTTGGCACGGCACGCCACCACTACGCCCAACCCAACATTTTTCGTTAAGTTTTCGTAGTTTAGTCCATTTAAGTCATTCCAAGGTACATTAACACCTTCCATTAATTCTAATTACTTCAAATGATTTCTAAACATATAGAAATCGTTAAAGAACTCAAATCATAACCTTGAATTCATAATTCAATTCAAGGAAAGTTAAGATCAAAGTCAAGAAAGTTAAGAGTCAAGTTTAAAGTTAAGAAGTAAGGCAAAGTAAAGATCTTAAAGATTTTCAAGAGTCTTATTAAACATTTAAATCTTGTTTTTAAGACTCAAGTTTCAAGCTAAGCAAAGAGTTAAGTTGAAGTTCTTTTCTTCAAAGGTATATGAGGACTGAGTATTCCAACAGAGACTTAAAATTGTTTTCACGCTTATTCAAGTAAGGAAACTTTGATTTCCAAGCAGCCTTAGGGCAAGTTTTCAGAAAACAACGATAGTTTTCTATAAGAAGCAAACAGGGAAACTAAGATTTCCAAAATAGCATTTAAGCTAAGTATTTTGAGCACTAATCTCAAACATAGAATCAGTATGTTCTTAAAACATAAGAGTCAGTATATTTTGAGAGTAGTATTGAACACCAATATGAGGGAGAGTCTACACAACTCACTGCCCATATAAACCATGTAGCCACCATGGGTAGAAAAGATTCATACTTTTTAGATGAACCCCTTTCATTGTAGACTAGTGGATCCATTAGGCAGTTAAGATCTTATACCTTTGGTCGGGTATAGGATGTGCTGGCAGCGTGAGGTAAATCGTTGTATCATCATTGTAGCTCTTAAGTGATGGTTGTCGGTTAGAGAAACTCCCAAAACAGTTATTGTATTCTTATATACATCAATTTAATTGTATTTTTACATACATACCAGTGTTAATTGTATCTTGCATACATTCAGAGATTTCAACATGTTTCAGACAATTTTCTTTATGTTGCATTTATTTTCAAATTGCATTATATTGAATGAGGTAAGTTATTCATGAGTTGAGCAGAATCATGGTAAGTGTTCATTCTTACTCTTTTTCAAGCTTAAGCGTTGTTAGCATTTCGACTCGCATACTTGTACATTCAATGTGTTGATGTCAGTTGGCTTGCATCGTTTATGATGCAGACGCATGTAACTAGGATCACCATTTGGCGTGCCGTTGATCCAGTTAGCAGCTCAGAGTCAGTTGGTGAGCCTCCCTTCATTTCGGATGACATCTTTATCATTTAGCTATTTGATTTAGTTTTTAGTTATTAAGATGATTGCGGGTCCTGTCTCAACATCCATCTTTATTTTAGAGGCTTCATAGATAGACAATATTAGTTTTCTTTGGTCTTTCATTTCATTTGTAAAGACTTAAAGTTTCCATTCTTACTAAGTACTATTTTAAAGTTATATTCTATGTTCAGTCTTCCGCTGATTTAAGTAAGCCAAACTCAAGGCCAACAATGGTCATTAGGTGACGGCAACGTCCAGGGTGTAGGCTCGGGACGTGACAATACCTTTTTTTTTCATTTAAATGTCATGTGGCAAGGTTAAAATGATATGGCAATGCCATGTGGCATTTAAATAAATGAAAATGAGTTAAGATACGTCCAACATACCAACTAACGCCCATAAGGGCATATTTGGGCGAAAAGTTGGAAGACGAGAGCATGACTGGGCCAAACTTTAAATGGGGTATATCTAAACCTTTTCAAATAGTTTAGGGGCATATTTGACCCTTTTCCCGATAGTAAATAGTGAAAGTATAGCTAATACAGTCGCTAAGCACTCATCACTTCCATTTTAAACCCAAAGGTTATAAGTTTGCAAAAAGGAAATATACAGCTACAATTGATAATATTAGAGATTTTAATTGTCAAGAATATGATACAATTGGTGTATGGGAGTCACTTATTAACAGCGAGTAAACTTTTCGGGAAAGAATTTGAAAGCTACCATAGAACTTGTTTCCCTCTATAAAAACTTACCTTTGCCCTAATCTATACTTTCTCTAAGTGGATAGCCTAGAGTGAACAGGGACTGCAACAGCTATGCTATGTTTTTTTCTTCTATAAACGAGAAATCTCCCAGCGAGCACAAGGCTCAAATGGACACGTTCCTTTATCCTTCTCCTCCTAAATATCGGGCACAGGTCTCTGGTCGGTTTTGAACTCGTGGCTACTTTTCAGCTAATATTAAGAGAGGGAATGCCTCCCACTCTACAAGAGGTAGACTTTGTTTCCCCTGCATTAGAAGATGATGGGCTTTCTGATGTATCTGAGCTGCTATTCTCACTTTGTCTATCTTTATTTGACCATAGTTTTGAGAACATCTTTTTGGACATGACTGAACTCCTCACTTTGCTATCGTCAACCGTTGCAGCATTTTTTATCATGTCATTCAAGTTACTACAATTGTTATCTCCTCTGTCTCTCAATCTTAGAGTTGCAAGCTCACCTTTCAGATCTTTAAGTTCCTTGGCTGTGAGCACAGCATCTGAATTGTCCTCGATGTTGGATGTAGCTGATGTGGAGCACCTCTGAGATCCCACTGGGAGCAAAGATTTGACCGGTCTAGTCAGGTCAGGAGTGCTGCCACCACCGGATGATGCTGTGGCTCTGAGTTGCTCAAAGAACAGAACTTGTACAACTATTCGTACAGGAAGGCGCTCGTTCTGCACAGCATGCATGCAGGCCTCAGCTGATAGCTTCCTGCAGTCCATTAGCCTACAAATTCTTTTTCTCTCGCTTTTAGTTATCCCAGGATGTTCCTGTCAAAACAAAACAATGATCATTCATGATCCTTGATGAGAAATTCTTCACATAATATTGGCATTTTTCACTCTCGAGTCGAGAGTGACGCTCTCGAGCTTACATGAACACAGACTGCAACTCAGACAAGAGAAGTACAAAATGATACCTTGAGATACATGTCAATAGCGCGGTAAATTCCATCATGGGAAGGTCTAGAGAAGCTAGAGACCAATTCTGCAAGATTGATAAACTTCGATACCGGTAGATTTGGATCTCTAGCAACTTCAGCAAGGTATCCATCGATTACCCTAGCCACCTTTACTTCGGAATCATCGGATGCAAACGGGGGCCATATATCGTGGAATTTATTATCTGCAGAACTATCAATCTGACCTCTCTTTTGATGCAACATGAAATTCTCTACCAGGTCGTGTACTATGTCAATATCGAATATAATAGTCTCACTATCTGGAGCTCGAATTAGTAAGTCACCTACTGTTGCATCTTCCATATGCAGGCTAATCCTCCTCTTCAGTTCACTTCTCATCGTTTGTCCACATTCGCATGCAATAGATGTTTGCAGCAATTTGATCAAGAAACTGCAGGAAACACTGTTCTTCTCTTTGGGCAACAACCAAGTAATCGTATCAACCATGTACCGATACTTTTCAGGATCACTTCCTCGTATACTGCCCTTGCTGAATCCCGGGAGCCTCCGGTTGGCATATGCTTTCAGTGCTTCACCTATTGCTTCTGAAGAAATCCTTCCTTTTGTTTTTATTGTTACTATGACCCGTTTATACAAATCAATATGAAGCTCACAAAGGTCCTCAACCCACCAATCTATTGGAACAAGCTGTTGACAGCTTATCGCATTACAGTGCAGATCACTTCCGTTTTCGGATGGAAGTTTTTTATGGTTATAAGTGTAAGACCAGTCCACCTTTGAGGTGTCTACAGAAGCTTTAGAAGCTACGGATTCCAGACAATGACTAACGATTTTCAATTCCTCGGACCAGGGAAGAAAAGCTTTTGTGGTCTGAAGAACAATGATGGAGTCTTTCCAGCTCCGGAAGATGCTAGACGTAAGAAAAACTTCAATCTTGTAGATAAGATTTCCCTTCTCAACTGACTCATACATTTCCAAGTACTCTGCTGCACAACGAGCTGCAACGACATTATATGCATTTAAAGTTACTGTCATATTATAACAGAACTTTGCACACACTTCAAAAGCAGCAGGTCCACCAGGTATATCATGGATGTTGATTTCATCAATATTTTCCTCGTTTGTACACGCAATCAGTTTCTGTAAGCGATAACTCTTCAACAGAAGGGGGAACTGAAGAAAATGTACTTCTATTAGTATTGCTATTTCTCATGCAGAAAACAGTTGACAAATATGGAATAAGAAAGGTTACTTACCTTGTGGAGGTAAAATTTCACATCTCCAACATTAATAATCATGTCAGTTGCCAATTCAGCTGCTACATACCTGAATATAAAGTTCATAGATCATATGCCAAATGAAAACTTTACCATTAATCTCAAATTACCACATCACTTCTTCATATGTGAAACGTAGACGAATAACTACAAGCAAATATTTGAAACAACAAATGCTATATAAGTTGATATGCGTAGACTAAAACCTGGAGGTTTACAAACTAACAACGGAGCTATCCAAAATATATGAATGTTAAAAGTCTTATTTTCATGAAGGGCTTGTAACTGCCACATGATCTAAAGCTTGTGGCATACTTATCCTTTTCCTTCATTCTAGATTTGCACACAGAAAGCGGGGTGTGTTTGTTAACTCTCTGTCATGTAACAATGGTGTATGTTTCCCTTCCTGAAGCATAACTTTCATTTCCAATTTGAGAAAATGACCCTTAAGCAATAAGTTCCTTGCTATGTAAAGCTACCAACATATTTACAGCCTAAAAATGTATTGGAGCAGTCCCTGAGCAGTCACACCATCACTGTGATTTTCATAGTTGTACATTCGGGGAGGCATGGAAGAAGAGATAACACTATTAGCACAGTTTCCCGAGTATCACCAACACTTCTTTCCAAACTATTGGATCCTAGTTCACAGAAGGCAAAGAAACCTATATACTACTTTACCTTCAAGGTTTCAACTGGATCAACACAGTATTAGTTGAAACGAACACAACGAGAAATATACCGTTTTCTTTTACTTTTACTGAAAATGTGAAATAAATGAGCTCAGACAGGTTATACAAGTCAAAATATAAACACATCATTTCAATGAGTTAGAACAAGACAAGAGTTTAGAGTAGGTAAATTAGACTATAAATCAATGGCAGCAAAAGGGCTTCTATCTATCTTGATTTGGATATGCATGTTATGAAATTTGATAAGTGAGGAATCAAGAAGAAGGCAATAACCCAGATTAGTTCTCGTGTGATAATGGAAGTGGTCAAAAATAATTCTTTTGATTGTTAGAAGTGATCGAAAATATTCAAAACGAGTTTCTGTAGAGGCCAAAAAATGTGAAAACATTTAACTTAAAGGTCCAGTCTAGTTTGAAAAACAACATTTTTCAAGAATATATTTTTGTTGACAAAATAGTCTTCTGATGTTTGATGATCTAAATTTGTCGAAACCTTATGTTTCAAGAAAAACATTTGATATCTACTAAGTGTGTATATAAACCATTTATGAAACTTTCTCTATTGCTACTCCATATCACAGTGCTTCTACCAACCATCATGCTAACATCATTTTCAATTTTTTGCTACTCATATTCAGCTTCAAATGCCTCCTGCAAAACCAACCAAGCTCCTATGTTGTTCGGACTCCACAAAATGTCAACAAGTGTATGTCGGATTCTCCAAAAGTATTATACTTTTGAAGAATCTGACACGGATGCAACATCGAAAGTGATGAGTCCCCGCAATTCAGCCAAACTTAGGATTTCAATTTTTTACCCAACCAAACAGTTGAAGATTGATTTAAGCAACTATAACCACAAAAACATTTTTCATCAAAATTATACATCATGATGTGCTTTCTGTGTTTGTAATATGGGAGGAAAAAGCTGAACTTAAATGAAGACAACAAAGTTCCAACAACCATAGCACTATAGTAATATAAAAAGTACCCTATCTAGAAAGACTTCAACTCATATACACCAACAATATAAAGACTTTTTTACATAATCAGTAAAATTTAATCTGTCTAGTAGGTTAATATTTTACCATGTTACCTATTAATACCTATCATAGAAATTTACTTGTAACTGCCTCATAAGTGACCTGATCATATAAATACCTCTACCTCATCGATCAGTGCATAAAACTTAAAATCATCTGGACATAAGAAATAACGACAACAACAAACCCATTGTAGTCTTGAAAGACCCTCTACTCGAGTAACACATATCAAAAGCAGAACAAACAAAACACAACAGCATTCACCAAAATTTTAAGTTCATTATTCACCTGATACTATCTCCTTGAGTCTGAAACTGATCAGGCTTAGATCCAAGCTTCATATACTTCATCTTCTGGCGCGAATTCTCTTCACCTCTGATCTAAAATTCAGAGCTTTTTTAGGCCTTCAACAAGAAAAAAAAAAGTTATTTCTTTGCTGATTTGTAATATGCTAGTTATAGTTTCTTGAACATCAGAGGCTATACAAATAGAAAAGAACCTGTCACAGCAAAGACACATATCAGAATGGTATGAATTGAAGTGCACCACTCAAATTTTTAGACAAAAAGCATCAACTGATTCTGGAAAAATGCACAAATATGAACAAACAACCACTACCACCCAAAAAAAAGGTGTTTCATATAGGCAAACGTAAATTTCTAAGACATAGCATCTTTGATTATAAAAATAAAAGGACATTGGAGGATGAGAGTTTATATACTACTTACTTTTTGTAAGTAAGTTTCAAATGAATTCAATATTTTTCGAGGGAAACATAAATATATATATAAACTAATAACCAGGCAAAGAGGAAAACACTAAACTTCCTTTTTTTTTACAAAACATGAAAATTTGACTTTCTAAAATTTGAAATTGCATTTAGATATGCATTTTAGTTGAATAAAATTTGGAAGTTCTACGAGTGAAAGTACCAAAAAACCTCCAGTCAGACCAATTTTTTTTTGAAAATTTGAAAATATTTGAAAAATCAACAACAAAAACATGTATCTCATAAGTGGAGTCTGACACAATAGAATATATACAAACGTTACCTACCCTACCTATACAGAAGTCATTTCCAATATACGTATTCAAAGATTATATGTTCAAAATCTAATCAATTTTTTTAACAAAATAAATATTTAACGATAAATTTTCAAAATCTAACCCCCTTTGCAGAATCAGAAAAAATAAATGATGAAACATGCATTAAAAAAAAAGAAAGAAAAAACTCACTGAAGAAGTTTCGAAATTAGCCTTGATGCGGCACAATGGAATATAATGAAACTAGTTTTGAGCTACAACAAGAAAGCAAATAGAGTGTGAAAAGCATATTATATATAAATGACGTGAAGATGTAAAATTTTGAGAGAAAAAAATAATAACACAAAGAAATCGACCCATAAAAAAGATAAGTTGTTTTTTTCTGATTTTTGTCTGCCACAGTAGCAACACACTGTTCTCACAAAAATCCAAGTTGAGAATGTTTGTAAACTCTTATCTATTATTCTTAGCTTTAGAATCAGCACCACTGTCCCCACCACCAAACTTTCCTACCTTTTGTGTTTCATTTTAGATGAGAGTATTGCTAAATGGTAAGACACTTTTTTTTTTTTTACATGAATTGATAAAACATGGATAAATGACCAAATAGCTCAAGGTTCCATTACTTGTTGCCTCTCTCCAAAATAAATAGAAAATTACTCTTGATTTTTTTCTTTCTTTATCTTCTCTCTCTTGTTTCACTCTTTTTTTTTTACTGTATTCATCAGTTTTATTTTATTTTGTTGATTAATTTGTTGTTCAAGATTTTTAGAATTATATAATTTTAATAAGATAAGGATGATAGTTTTTTGTCCCAAAATCATGAAGATTTTGATGGTATATACGATAGGCCTAGAAAAAAAAACTAAAATTCTCGTGACCTATAAACTTGAAAAAAACTAAAAAATACATAAAATTAAAGATCTAAACTTAGATTCGAACTCGTGACTTATAGACTATTTGTTTAATTTTTAATTATTTGCGCTGCAATAACATTCATTCATTAATACGAAAGGAAATTTATTTACTCTCTTTCATATCAGTAGTTTATTGAATATCACTAGTAATTCAAAATGAGATATCATCATTAAATATAGTCTAATAACTACTAAAATGTGAAGATAAATTGATCAAAAGTTGACATGTACCATAATTAATTGTATTATCCAATTAAAACTTGATCATGCATATATAATCGCATTCAATTAACTTGTATTTGTGAGAGAGCATAACTCATTTAATACTATATCCATTACATTTATTTTCATCATAATAATTCGGCTTACAATAATGAAAAATCTTCAGTTTTTGTGAAACAATCCAAATATAAATTTTTACAATTTTATTTACCAAAAAAATTAATTTAAAAAATATGTAAATCCTAAAAATTTCAAATATTCTAAATTTTTTTTAAAAGACCTAAAATTGGGACATAACCTAGATTTGAACTCGTGACCTATAGACTATTCGTTTAATTTTTAACCATTCGCATTGCAATATTATTCGTTCATAATTACGAAAGGGATTATTTACTCTCTTCATATCATTTGTTTAATAAGTATCACTATAAAATTTAAATTGTGATATTATCAATAGATATGGTCTAATAACCCCTATTATGTGAAGATAAATTGATCAAAGATCGATATATACCATAACTTATTGTATTATCCGATTATAACTTGATCATGCATATATAATTCCATCCAACTGACTTGTATTTGTGAGAGAGCATAACTCATATAATATTATATCTATTACATTTATTTTCATCATAATGATTCGACTTATAATAGTGAAAAATCTTCAATTTTGTGAAATAATTCAAATATAAACTTTTACAATCATATTTACCAAAGCAATATAAAATTAAAAATTACTTAAATACTAATAGATTCAAAGAGTCTATTTTTAAAAATATACCTAAAATTGAGACCTAATCTAGATTCCAACTCGTAACCTATAGACTATTCGTTAAAGCTTTAACCATTGTTGCTGCAATAGCATTCATTCATAATTACCAAAGAAAATTTATTTAGTCTCTTTATATATCACAAGAGAATTTAAAATGAGATATTATCAATAAATATAGTCTAATAACCCGTAAAATATGATGATAAATTGATCAAAGGTTGACATGTACTATAACTAATTGTATTACATAATTAAAACTTGATCATGCATATATAATCACATTCAATTGACATGTATTTGTGAGGATGCTTAACTCATATAATACTATATCCATTACATTTATTTTTGTCATAATGATTCAACTTATAATAATGAAAAATATTCCATCTTTGTGAAACAATCCAAATATAGACTTTTGCAATCGTATTTACCAAAAAATATAGAATTAAAAATTATTTAAATCCTAAAAACTTCAAAGTGTCCAATTATTTGACAAAATACCTAAAATGGGGACCTAACCTAGGTTCGAATTTGTGACCTATAGACTATTCTCTTAAGTTTTAATCATTCATGCTGCAATTGCATTCAATCATGATTATAAAAGAAAATTTCTTTCATTTCTTTATATCAGTTGCTTAATGAATATCACTAGAGAATCTAAAATGAGATATTATCAATAAATATAGTTTAATAACTCCTAAAATGTGAACATAAATTGATCAAAGGTTGATATGTATCACAACTAATTATATTACACAATTATAACTTGATCATGTATATATAATCACATTCAATTGACTTGTATTTGTGAGAGAGTATAACTCATATAATATTATATCATTTACATTTATTTTCATCATAATGATTTTGACTTATAATAATGAAAAATCTTCATTTTTTGTAAAAGGGATTCAAATATATTTTTTTATAATTTTATTTACCAAAAAAAACAAGAAAAATCTTAAAAACTTCAAAGAGTAATTTAAAAAAAAAATACTTAAAATTGGGACCTAATCTAGATTCGAACTCGTGATTTATTGACTATTCGTTTAAACTTTAATCATTCATCCTGCAATTGCATTCGGTCATAATTAAGAAATAAAATTTATTTAGTCTCGTTATATCAATTTTTTATTAAATATCACAAAGAAATTTAAAATGAGATATTGTAACGACCTGTTAGTCGTTTTGAACAGTAGAGTTTATTTCTGGTAATAACTGCCTGGGTTGACGGATCCCACGACGGACCGTCATGGGCACGACGGACCGTCGAGGGGGGGGGATTGTTCCAAAACACTTAGATTCTGAAAATTTGGGTACTGAGAACAACTCTCTGAACTTCGCGACGACATGGCAGGACGGACCGTCGTAGGCACGACGGACCGTCACAGAGTCATAAATAAAATCGACTCTCTGAACTTTGTGACGGAAGCAGCAGGATGCACCGTCATAGGCACGACGGGCCGTCACAGGCTGCGTAACCCTGACTGAGTCGGATTTCTGTTAAAAGTTTCAAGGGGCGTTTTGGACTATTCCTACTTATAATTATAAAGTTAGGGGTTTAATGTTAATAATTCAACTACTTGGCGGTTAAAGGAGAGAGCCTTGAATTAATTAGTGGATTACTTTTAGCATCTTTTATACTTAATTATATGGTAATTAGGGTAAAAGAAAAAGAGTTGAATAGGGAAAAATCAGAAAAAGAGAAAGAGGGGGAGATCGATCGAGAGAAGAGAGAAACGAAGAGGAAAGCAGAGGCTTTGAGGAATAGCTTGCTTGATCGTGAATTCTTCGGTGGAGGTAGGTTATGGTTTATGCTATTTCATAGTAAACTCTTAATAGCGAATGATATGTATTGGGTAGTACTGTAAACCCTTCTATATGCTTAATTGTGTGCATGCATGATGTGATTGTATAATTGTGATAAAATAAGCATGATGAGGCTGTTGAATCTTAAACCTTTAAAAACGTCTTTGTTAATAATGATGCCTTGGTATAAAAAAAGGCTTGATGAACTAAAAGAATGAGGTTAATAGATCGGGTGTCACAAACCGACACGTAGTATTAGGGGATCGGGTGTCACGTTCCGGCACCAGGATAGTATTAATGGATCGGGTGTCACGTTCCAGCACCAGGATAGTATTAATGGATCGGGTGTCACGTTCCGGCACCAGGATAGTATTAATGGATCGGGTGTCACGTTCCGGCACCAGGATAGTATTAATGGATCGGGTGTCACGTTCCGGCACCAGGATAGTATTAATGGATCGGATGTCACGTTCCGGCACCAGGATAGTATTAATGGATCGGGTGTCACGTTCCGGCACCAGGATAGTATTAATGGATCGGGTGTCACGTTCCGACACCAGGATAGTATTAATGGATCGGGTGTCACGTTCCGACACCAGGATAGTAGTAGTGGATCGGGTGTCACGTTCCGACACCAGGATAGTATGAGGAGGATCAAAGTGTCACGTTCCGACACCAGGATAGTAAAGAGAATGAATCTTGAATTATGTTAATATACTCAAATTAATGAACATATTTTCCCAAATGAGTATGGTATGGAGGCTTGAGTCCTCATGGGTGTACTTGGCGTTATTATCAATGATTCTTGTACTTGTCGCTGCTACCTGTTGAGTATTGTAGTTGATTTTATGATATTATCTGATATATATTGCTTTCTATTTTGAGTTGGCCGATGATATCTACTCAGTACTCGTGTTTTGTACTGAATCCTACTTGTATGTTTTCTCTTTGTTATTTGTGGAGTGCAGCAAACGTACCGTCGTCTTCAACTCAACCGCAAGTCTAGTCAGTCTTCGTCACGGCAGATTTCAGGGTGAGCTATTGTTTCTAGCTTGGACTGGATCTTCTTCTTCACGTCTTGATGCCTTGAAGTTCTGGCATGGACTAGCTGTTTAGTTATTTTAGCTTCTTAGATACTCTTAGATTTAGTAATTTGAGGATAGATGTTCTTGTGATGATGTCTTCCAGGTTTTGGGGATAGTAATTGATAAACTTTAGAAGTTATTTAATTGATTTTGTTAATGAGTTTTAAGTCTTCCACATTTTTATTCTGTTTATTATGGCTGAAATGTTGGGGTTAGATTGGTTGGTTCGCTCACATTAGGAGGATAAGTGTGGGTGCCACTCACGGCTCGTTTTGGGTCGTGACAAACTTGG